CAGAAAGAGTTAGCTAAGACTCTGTGTTGTTTAGGGCAGGCAGAGATGCATACGCTCGGTGAAATCGCGATACGGGATTGGGTTCGTTCAGCGACGCACACCTACTGCCGACAGTGACGACCGAACGCCACCATATTGAACACTCGCCTCGCGCGAGTCCTCCATTCAAAAGACGATGCGCCACGAATCAAGACGCGCGCGAGGCATCGTCATGGCGAATTCGCGCAGTCGCGGTACCGTATACGCGCGTACAAAAATAATCATCAAAAATTAAATACTCTTTCCCTACATATCGTTACTATCGAGACGTGATGGTAGCGGCGACACATCGTTCCGGCAAAATCATTTACAACGCTCACAGAGGGGTCCACCATTTTCTCACAAGCGATTACAGCTGCATAGGTTTGTGCCACTGGGATGTAGTAGTTGATCTGTTCACCTCAATGCAAGCCTGTAAAAGACGGCAACAGCTTTGTTAGCAATGCTCCTCCTAAATGATTGAACGACAGTGTTTTCCTGAATCACAAAATATTAATCGCAATGTCTAGATGGCGAACGAGTAAAGCTATGTCTCCACACACACGGCACGGCACGACACAACAAAACGCAGCGCCGTTGTGCTAAAAAAAAATACATTGTGATTTCTCGCGTATTGTGTCTGAGCGCATTGTGTTCACTCTGGTTCAGTGATCAGAAATTATGCATGTGCTTGTTGTCCATTGGCTGATGGTGGCGTGAGCAGAACACGTGATAAAAAACAATCGCGCTGATTGGTTCAATTGTCTTTTGCTGCACACGGCATCTGGAAAAAGTCAAACTCATTTGACTTTGGTCGTCGCCGTGAAACGGGGCTGGCGCCGTGCCATGTCAGTGGAGACTGCGCCTTAAGATATAATAGATTAAAACTTTGCCGGTAGGGGTGAACGGCGCCGTTTCCGTGGCGTTCCGTGCCGCGCCGCGTGTGTGGAGACGTTTTTACGAAAGTATTCAGTTGCTATAATCTTGCACTCAAATATTGAAATCCTAACAAATAAAAATGAGACACCTCTTACTTTAGCTGCTTGTATTGCTTTTTGCCATAGTTGGTCTCAGGCGGTTCGCACTCGAATGATGCTAACGCGAGCGCTGGAAATAAAAACACATGTTAACAATATTCATTGCACTACATTAGTCAAGCTTGGTGTAAATCAGATAGAATCGAGTCAAAAGTCAGTAGAACCAGCAGTTTTTGGAGCGGTGCGATACAAAACATGGCGCCGTTACAGAGGGAGAGAGAGAGAGAGAAAGAGAGAGAGAGAAAGAGAGAGAGAGAGAGAGAGAAAGAGAGAGAGAGAAAGAGAGAGAGAGAAAGAAGAGGCCCCCCCCACCCGCCCCAGCAGAGGAGACCGACTCACACGAGACGCCGCACCCGAGCAGCCTATCGCCGCCCCAACCAGACCCCCCCACGACCCGCCCGCCCACCGCCACACACGCGTGAGACGAGGCACGAGAGCCACTATCGAACCTCACCGCCGCCCACGCAGCTTACATCCGCTCGCGCCTGGGTCTTGACCTACGAGCTGACCGGAGGGACCATTTGCTGAAACCCGAGGCAGTGAGTGATTGATGGTTGGTGTCGAGGCCTGCTCGGAGACGCTGCACACACACGCACACGCATTCGCTCGAGCCCTGTGACGTCGGAAGTGCTACCAGTACTCCGCTGTAAACCGCTGTGAACAGTCTCGCTGGAGCCCTCTACCCGACCAAGCCCTCGAATTGAAGGGTTAGTATGCACCTGCGGTGTGAGAGATTAGTCGAGAGCGCATTCATCAGTACGAAAGAAAGGACTAAGAATAATGAATTGGAAAGAGAGGAAACTTGTCAAAAGGTAATGTCACTAATACCTATGAGCGAGTGCGAGTGAAACAATGATAGCTGCTACGTGATATGTACTGTAGAGAATAGAGCTGCGAAGATCTATGTTTGTCTGACCGTGAGAAAAACGCCCAACCGCACTACGCTATGAGAGTACCTGGTCTGATAAGCAGTCGCGATGTCACGAGAGAGAGAGAAAGCGGATCACAGAGAAAGCAGAGAGCGTCGAGAGAGAGAGAAGAGAGAGGGACGAGAGAGAGAGAGAGAGCACGAGAGCGTTGCCGAGATCGAGAGAGAGGCGACGTGAAAGTCCCGTGACGAGAGAGCAGTCCAGTAGGATGAGCAGGATTAGTGTATTGTAGCAGAGCAAGCGAGGCTGAGAGGAGACATGTCGTGTACTGGTGCGATGTCTCGACAGTGACGTTACCGTCTGTGTACCGCTCGAGAGAACGAGAGAGAGAGAGAGAGAGAGAGCAGAAGACGATGGACGAACGTAGAGAGAGAAACGAGAGAGAGAGAAGCGCGAGAGAGAGAGAGAGACGAGAGAGAGAGCAGAGAGAGAGAAGAGAGAGACGAGCGCCGAGAAGAGAGAGAAGAGAGAGAGAGACGAGAGAGAGAGAGAGAGCATGAGAGAGTGAGAGTGACTTGAGTAGAGAGACGAGACGAGTAAGAGCTAATCTATCTATGCTACTCTATCACGTACTTGAATCGGAGAATGAACGAGAGAGAGAGAGGAGGCAGAGAGAGCCTAGCAGAGACAGAGAGCCAGAGCGCAGAGAGAGAGAGCAGAGCAGAGGAACGAGCAACCTGAGAAGAGATAGAGCTAAGCAGATGATAAGCAGCAGAGAGAAAAGAAGACGCCAGAGACGTTCACGTACACTCCTAAGAGGATGGATAATCTTAGATATTCTAGTCTATTATCTAAATCTATCTATGATATCTACTCTTCCTACATACTCGCTCATTTTTTCTTACCAATGAACTAAACTTACTAGCTTCCTATTCTAGTTATCTGATCGTAGAATCTTCTATCTGGTCTATAATGACTGAATCCGCTATCGCGGCCCCGCTTCTGAAAGCACTCGAAACAAGGAGAACACGACTCTATCAGATTGGATTAACATGACTATCTACTAGCCGCTGTGTTCCCTAGTTGGCGCACGTTATGACGCTCTATCCTNCTCTCTCTCTCTCTCTCTCTCTCTTCTCTCTCTCTCTCTCTCTCTCTCTCTCTCTCTCTCTCTCTCTCTCTCTCTCTCTCTCTCTCTCTCTCTCTCTCTCTCTCTCTCTCTCTCTCTCTCTCTCTCTCTCTCTCTCTCTCTCTCTCTCTCTCTCTCTCTCTCTCTCTGTCTCTTTGGAGGAGAGAGGGAGAGACAGGGGAGGAATGGAGGTAGTATATATATATATATAAATATATTGCTGTAATAGCGATGTGCGCTAAAACAATGTGCAATCTCTTCACTGTCAATCTTTGCTGATAACTAGACTTTTGCGCCAACCAATTTTGTGGCCCAATACATATATAGGTATATATGCTATACTGAATCATCTGTAATCTCGGCCAGTGAATTCTTCTCTCACCTCTATCCGCTTCCAATTCATGACTTCGCCGATCTGCTTGGCAAGCTGCCAGAACTTCTCGAAGTTGACGTGACCGTTAGGGAGCTTGTTTGCGCAGCCCTCGTTCAGATAGTAAATGTCCTTCAGGAGTAGACTGAAGAACGGAATGATAATCTGAAATTCAAAGAACAGACGCGATGTGTAAAGATACCGCCATCGAGATAGAGAAGAGGGAGGAACAATCTCTTCATTGTAAATCTTTGCTGATAATTAGACGTTTGGGCCAACCAATGACATTACATAATAACCACAATGCTCTATCCATTTACTGTATATGGCTATTAGATATGAAAAGTTTCTTTTTTCAATCACTCTATTTCCCCACCAGGGGTCCTCGACTCTGTAAGGGTGAGGTCAAGTGCGGGAAACAGCGTCCTATTCCAGAAGCGGCCGGAGATCATAGACTGTCTCATCACAAAGCCAGTGTTTTCTGAAAACGGTGAGTCTCTCTCTCTCTCTCNGAGAGAGAGAGAGAAAGAGAGACTCACCGTTTTCAGAAAACACTGGTGTCGTGATGAGATAGTCTATGATCTCCGGCCGCGTCTGGAATGGGCACTGAAACAAGAGAACAGCTCAGATTAGACAAAGACGCTGTTTCCCGCACTTCACCTCACAGAGTCGAGGACCCCTGGTGGGGAAATAGAGTGATCGAAACAAGAAACTTTTCATATCTAATAGCCATATACAATAACTGGATAGAGCATTGTGGTTATTATATAATGTCATTGGTTAGCGCAAACGTCTAATTATCAGCAAAGATTTACAATGAAGAGATTGTACATATATATATAAATATATTGCTGTAATAGCGATGTGCGCTGAAACAATGTGCAATCTCTTCACTGTCAATCTTTGCTGATAATTAGACTTTTACGCCAACCAATTGGATGGCCCAATACATATATATATATATAGGTATATATGCTACACTGAATCATCTGTAATCTCAGCCAGTGAATTCTTCTCTCACCTCTATCCCCTTCTAATTCATGACTTCGCCGATCTGCTTGGCAAGCTGCCAGAAATTCTCAAAGTTGACGTAACCGTTAGAGAGTTTGTTTGCGCAGCCCTCGTTCAGATAGTAAATGTCCTTCAAGAGTAGACTGAAGAACGGAATGATAATCTGAAATGCAGAAAAAAAAGAAAAATCAGACGCGATGTGTAAAAGAACTGCCATCGAGATTTCTAGAGAAGAGGGAGGGGCAAATGAAGGCCGAGAAGGAGAGAAGCAGGAAATAGAATGGATAGAGAGACAGAAAGACACGAGAGACAGAGAGAGCAAGAGAGGAGAAGAGAGGAGCCGAGTGAGGAGAGGACGTGAGATGGTCGAGAGAGAAGAGGAGAGAGGAGAGCGGAGCGAGAGGAGAGCGAGAGTCGAGAGAGAGGAGAGAGAGGAGCAGATGCAGGGAGAGAGAGAGCGACGAGAGAGGTAGAGCGGAGAGAGCAGAGACGAGAGATGAAGGAAAGAGAAGAGAGAGAGAAGAAAGAGAGAAGGAGAGAGAGAGAGAGAGCGAGAGAGAGCGAGAGAGAGAGAGAGAGAGAGAAAAAGAGAGAAAGAGAGAGAGAGAAAGAAAAAGCGAGATAGAGAGAGAGAGAAAGCGAGATAGAGAGCGAGAGAGAGAGAGAAAGCGAGATAGAGAGAGAGAGAGAGAGAGAGAGAGAGAGAGAAAGCGAGATAGAGAAAAAGCGAGAGAGAAGAGAGAGAAAGCGAGATAGAGAGAGAGAAAGCGAGATAGAGAGAGAGAGAAAGAGCGTGAGAAAGAGCGTGAGAAAGAGCGTGAGAAAGAGAGAGAGAGAGAGAGAGAGACAGAGAGAGAGCATGAGAAAAGAGAGATAGAGCGAGTGAAAAAGAAAGAGAGAGAGAGAGAGAGCGAGAGAGAGATAGAGAGAGAGAGAGAGAGAGAGAGAGAGAGAGACAGCGAGTGTGAGAAAGAAAGAGAGAGAGAGAGCGAGAGAGAGAGAGAGAGAGAGAGAGAGAGAGAGAGAGAGAGAGAGAGAGAGTGAGAGAAAGTGAGTGTGTGTGTTGTAATGTTCTGAGCGACCTTTTCACTACAGCGACCTTTTTACATAAGCGACAATAAAGGTCAGAGGTTATCTGACGAGTGCTCCCGCCGTAACTGCACGCATTAGTCTTGACTGCCATGCGATTCCCGAAGTGGTGAAGATGAACAATGGCCCTCCTTTCAATAGTTGCTATTTCCGTGGGTTTGCTGGTTACCTTGAATTCAAACACAGGAGGATCACGCCGGAGTGGCCAGAGGCTAACAGCGAGGCAGAGCGGTTCATGAGGACGCTGAAGAAGAATCTGACCTCTGACCTCTGACGCTGAAGAAGAATCTGACCTCTGACCTCTGACGCTGAAGAAGAATCTTCATACCTCCGAGGCTCAGAGGAAACCGTGGAAGCAGCTTGGAGTTTCGTTTTGCCCTTCATTTTTTTGCAACAAGCCTTTTCTAATGTGCTATAATTCTAAGCCACGATCCTAAATTCTTGTTGCTTGTGAGCAGAAACATACTTAATCAAGCAGCTCCGTTAGTTTCACCATATACGAAGACCGGGTCGAGTTATGCAGCAGATCACCCTCCTTGATCTCCGAAGTGCTAGCAATGCACAAGTGAAGCCATACTGACACGGCTGCACTTAATGTCGAAACAATCTTTCACGACATTGTCAACAGCAGAAACTAGACATCAATAGCCAGATTGCAAAGAATCTCACACACTATAAGAATGTTGCAGGGGTTTACTTGTAAGTTTTAGGACAAGACAGTCATTGCTTTGAAGGCACATTTATGCCATCTAACATCAGCGTTTTAAATTTAAAGCAATAATTCACTGCGTGTTAATATTGTTTTATCACCTAATAGAAGCATACTAACACATGCCAGTATTGTTATATTTAAAGCAAACAAGTTCATGTCTGCTAAAAAAGTTCTTTGACTTCATATTAGCATATTTATACCAGCCAATACCTTTTTCATCATTTTATACAAGCATGTTGATGCCTGCCTATATTAAATTATTTCATACAAGCATGTTGATACCAGCCAATATTACATTACTTCATACAAGCATGTTGATACCAGCCAATATTACATTACTTCATACAGGCATATTGATGCCTGCCTATATTAAATTACTTCATACAAGCATGTTGATACCAGCCAATATTACATTACTTCATACAGGCATATTGATGCCAGCCAATATTACATTACTTCATACAGGCATATTGATGCCTGCCAATATTAAATTATTTTTTATTTAAATTATTATATTACAATTTCGTGCTCCTGCGAGGCGTGCTCACTGGTGCAATTTAGGGTTTAACGATGTGCGCAGAGTTACCACACCATCGCATCGTACGGATGTCAATATTGTAAATCGACGTGAGGTTAAAGTAGTTTACAACAGTTTTCTTATCATCTTGTGTGCTTCTATAGACTACGCGGACGACATTACACTTCTTTCAAATAGACAACAGGACATGCAACAAAACGCTAACACTCTAGCCACTATGCTTTAAATGTATGCCTTAAAATTAGTAAAGATAAGACGAAATTTTCCGTCTGAAAACCAAAAATACAATTCCTATTATTATAGAAGACACCACCAAATGGGTGGACAATTTTAAATACTCGGTAAAAGTCAAAATCAGCAAAGATGTGGAAACCCTCATCGACATTCAGGCAAGGCTAACCAAAGCCAGACAAGCTTTTGGAATACTGAATAAGATATGAAATGCCAAAGCTATGAAAACAGCAACAAAAATAAAATCTTTAAAAGCAATGTTTGAGTGTGCTTCTGTGTGAAGCGGAAAGCTGGAAGGCTACTAAAAAAATCACTCAAAAACTCGATGCCTTCCAAACAAAGTCATTACAAACAGATCCCCTAGAACGTTGGCCAGACAACATTACAAACAAACGACTCTACAAATGATTAATCACACACACAGAACCTTTGAGAAATATAATTAAAGAAGATGGACTTGGCTCGGTCATGCGCCCAGATGGAAGAAGGTGCCATAGTGAAAACGGCACTTAGACGGATGTCAGACGGGAGGAGAAGAAAGGGAAGACCCAAGGAGACGGAAAGAAGGACCATTGAGAAGGAGACGCAGATGTGTGAACTGTCATGCGACACACTGAGGCCAGTAGCCGCGGGCCAACGACGTTGGAGATCTCGTCATGCCTTATGTGCCATCTATGCACCTACGAAAAATAACTAAACTAACTAACAGTAATTATGTAAGATATTAGATGCATCCAAGGTATATTCGATTTTAAACCAATACTGTTAGGTAGTTTTCATAGAGATTAATTGAATTTGTTCGACAAGACATGTTCAAGTTTAAAAAAGAATTTGGAGATGAGAACATTTTTTGTATATTCCATAACATTTTTTACAGAAAATATGAATTATTTTAATATGACATATAAAGCAGAAGTATTTTTCATAGCTCATTTTTCTTTAAAAAGGAATTATGTATCATTTATGCTGATCTACTGGATAGATAACATATATACAGCAAAATGGGTTATCCACACTAGTAAAAAAACCACAGAACACCAATTACACACCTCACATCACCACGTCACACTACACCACATCACACCATGCCACGCCACGCCACACCACATCACACCCCTTCACACCACGTCACATCCCACCACACCACACCACACCACATCACATCACATCACACCACACCCCATCACACCATGTCACATCACATCACGCCACACCCCATCACATCACACCACACCACACCATATCACATCACGCCACACCACATCACACCACGTCACACCACATCACATCACATCACATCACATCACACCATACCATATCACACCACACCACACCACATCACATCACATCACACCACACCCCATCACACCACGTCACATCACATCACATCACACCACACCCCATCACACCATACCATATCACACCACACCACACCACATCACATCACATCACACCACACCCCATCACACCACGTCACATCACATCACGCCACACCCCATCACATCACACCATACCATATCACACCACACCACACCACACCATATCACATCACGCCACACCACATCACACCACGTCACATCACACCACATCACATCTCATCACATCACACCACATCACACCACACCCCATCACACCACATCACATCACGCCACATCACACCTCATCACACTACACCACACCACACCACACCCCATCACATCACACCACATCACACCACGTCACATCACAGCTCATCACACTACACCACACCACACCACATCACACCACGTCACATCACATCACGCCACCCCCCATCACATCACACCACACCACACCACACCATATCACATCACGCCACACCACATCACACCACGTCACATCACAGCTCATCACACCACACCACACCACACCACATCACACCACACCCCATCAGACGACACAATACTACACCATGCCACAACACACCACGCCACACAATACTCACACAAACACTAAATGTGTTGTACATATGCATGGTTACTGACGTATTGTCATACAATGATTAACAGAATAACTGAATGTATAGCAAATTAAGTTTAGTATCACATTTCATGGAATTATCAGTTTGATATTTTTATTTTGGAAATGGCAACCAGAAATATTAGACTGATGGGCCCGGTCAAGCATGCGGGGCAAATGCCCTTGACCTTGCTAGAAGGGAACATTGCTGATATGTTCTACCTGCATGAAGGAAGATCATGGCTGTATTCTTTCATGGCCTTCTGGAGCGTGAGTGTCATGTTCTACCTGCATGAAGGAAGATCATGGCTGTATTCTTTCATGGCCTTCTGGAGCGTGAGTGTCATGTTCTACCTGCATGAAGGAAGATCATGGCTGTATTCTTTCATGGCCTTCTGGAGCGTGAGTGTTCTATTGTTCCTGTAAAATAATAAAGATGAAAATGAACGTCCAGGGGACGAGTTATTTCAACATATAAGTGAACTCATAATTAGCGCTGTTTAAAAAGTAGTCGACTATTTAAGCATTGCTTGTTTAGCCTCTAGACTTGTTTGGGACGTGATCCTGCATTACAGGTGCCACATCTGTAATTATATTATATATCCAGTCTTCGGGTTTAGCCGGGTGACATTGCAAGCTCACTTGCCAGACAGACTACTGCATGCTTTAAAAACGCATTAAATATAATGAAACTGGCCATTAACTAAAGGTTGTAAATTTAAAATCAAGAAATATTAGAAACGAATGGCGCCAAGAAGTTGTCTGGGTTACACTTCTTTACCGATATTTTACAAATATTTCTGCAAAATATATCAGCCATTCCACCGTGACTCGTGTGACATTTCTACAAAAATCCAACTTTTAATGGTCTGGCCCGAGGGGGGGAGGGCACTCCATATATATATTGCATGGTAGGTAATATATATGTGCCACGGGAGAGACCCCCATTTTCAACCCTAAACTTCCGACACAGCAGGGTTCGAAATTAACGCTCGCACACTCGCAAAATGCGAGTGGATTTCCGAAATTGCGAGTAGAAAATATAAGCACTTGCATTTTTGTGCGATATAATCTGTTGTGATGACTATCATAATCCAACATCCCATATCCAGGCATTTTAAAAGTAACAAGTTGTCAACACAAGTCATAATGGAACTAGACCAACTAATTTCTGTAAAATTATAAACACGTACTGTCTACAAACTGAGTAAGGATTATAAACCTCGGCGAACGCTTTGTAGCCTGGTTTAATAAAGTCGTATCAACATTATATAACATTTATAAAGAAACTAAAAAGATAACATTTTTAATTGACGTGTTAGCATATTATACACTACAAAAATAATTATATTAAAAATGCGAGTGTTTCGGATTTTGCGAGTTGAAATTTGACCCACTCGCAAAAAATTGCGAGTGGTTTAAAAAGTTAAATTCTACCCCTGACACAGTGATTTCTCATTACAAGTTTCGCTCTCACCTCACACATGAAGAGAACGGTAAAGATGATTGAGACGCTAGCGAGAGTCATGCCTATGTCACTGCCCTCATCCGCCCACTGCAACAACAAATAACAATCGTGTCACAGAAACACTGACACAGGCGGTATATGCTAGTAGTTATTATATAGTTACTATTATGTAGTTATTATAATACTATAGTTAGTTATTAGAGTAATTCAGGCACCTTGTAAATGTTTGACTACATAATTTTGCGTGTGCGTGCGTGCGTGCGTGTGTGTGTGCGTGCGTCAAGAGCGAGTTACGCAGCAACATCATAATCTAATAACCCTCCACCCTCTCAATGAATCGCCACACTCACGTGGTAGCAGAGCAGGCTGCTGTTGGCTAGCACGAGGGGGGTAACACCACCCCCCGCCACCCGCCCCCCGCGCACACACTCACAGGGTAGCAGAGCAGGCTGCTGTTGGCTAGCACGAGGGGGTAACACCACCCCCCCGCCCCCCGCGCATACACACCTCCAACAGGTACAAGAGCAGCTGCCTGTGGCTAGCACGAGGAGGGTAAGCACCAAACCACCCCCCGCCCCCAGCCCCCGCCCCCCGGCATCCGACACGCACAGGGTAGCAGAGCTATAGGTCTGCTGTTGCGCTAGCTACGGACGGTGAACTAACACAACCCGCTCCGCCCTCACCCTGCGCACCTCGCTCACTCCGTCGCACGATCGTCAAAGAACCCGCCACACACTGCACAGGGTAACAGAAGCAGGCTGACGTAGCTAGCACGAGGGGGTAACACACCCCCCGCCCCCGCCCCGCCGCGCCACTACCGCCGCGAACAAGCACTCACAGGGAGTCTCAGGACTATCACACTGCTTGTTGCGGCAGCACGAAGGGGATAAACACCAACACCCGCCCCCCGCCCTCCCGCTCCACGACCCCGCACACACACTCCAGGCTAGCAGAGTAGGGCTTTCTCATCCTGCTGTTCGGCTAGCACTGCACGGGAGTAACAACTCACCTCCACCCTCTTATCTTTCTACCCCCTACGCCCCAACGCCGCACGACACTTCTACAGGGTAGACAAGTTACTGGCACGCTGTTGGCTAGCACGTAGGGGGGTAACACTCCGCCTCCTCTTTCTTTGGTCTTCTCGCCGCCCTTCACCCAGCCAATCTGTCTCTCTCTCTCTCTGGCTGTCTCTCTATCTCAATCTGTGGTCTCTCGTCCACCACCAGGTACATAGTCTCTATCAGATTCTCGCTGATGCCGATTGCTCTTGACTCTGCACTCACGGGTGCGTATACTAACCACCCAAGCTCGCCTCCCCCCCTCCCCTGCCCCATCCCCGCACCCTCCGCCACACACTGACAGGTGCGTACAGAGCAGTCACTACTTGTTGGCTAGAATCCGAGCGAATGCGCGACGAAAGCCGTTGTAAGTGAGATGTGGCTCACGCGTGACGTGCCGTAACATGAAGCACGGAACGCTGCGTTCTCCCGGCCGCGCGGCAGATGCAGGCGGCTGACGCGATCTCAGCCGGTTCTTCAAGTCTTGCCGATCCGCGGCTGAATCGAGACTGGTGAGCAGGCCGTGCCCTGCGAAATCAGACCATAAACGCTTAGTTCACACGGCTATATAAAGTGATTCAGTTAGATCCAAATAAGTTAAAAATAACTACACTGACGAATATTCGTCCGACTCTCCGATAGACTTCTCTGTCGAATCAAGTCTATCGGAGAGAGGACCGAACATTGCGTCCGTGTAAGTTTATTTTGTACTTAATTTATCTAACTGAAAATACAGCTTTATTAGCATGTTGAACTAATAGAGATTCCACGATGAAATTAGTTCAGCATATCAGATATACGGCTATTCACTAAACAGACTTGTGCAACACGGACAGTAAGTCACCAGACACAGATCTAGTAGCCAGATCAAAGCTGGTCAGTTCTTGTCACACTTAACACGTCCATATGATCAACCATTCGCTGCGCTGCAGACAATAATTTACGCATCCACTCCGCCAGAGGCTTGGCGGAGGTTATGTTTTTCACCGAGCGGTGTCTTTGCACTGCTTGGGTATTGTGTGTTACGCTCGATGCAAACCGTTCAGTCACTTCCCGCTAAGTGTAGCGCTGCTCGCGTCTGTAAACTTGACTCAAACTACACGCAAACCACAAGGCTAAGGGCAACCACAGCCTCCCCCACTCGTGCACGCTCGCACTAATGCCGGAATCCAATTAATTAATTTAATTAATTAATTAATTAATTTAATTTTCTTCACCACTTAAATTAATTAATTTAATTAATAAAAACAATTCACATTGAGAGACATTCAGACTGCCTTGGCGAGGTCTGTGCTCTCCGAGTGAGCTCTAATGTTAACATGAAACGTGTTTACGTTGCTACGTTCCCTGCCAGCAGGCGGTCAGATTGTAGACAGCAGCACAGTAAACCAGTGAAAATAGTAGTCAGTACACACAGATAGTAGCAGATAAAGCTGGTCAGTTGTCACTAACAGTCATAGGGTCAATGTCCCCCAGGGTACTATCGGAGGGTACCCTGAGTACGGTTCGATATATCGGAACGTACCCTGGTAACTATCTGATATGGTTAGGGTTAGGGTTAGGGTTAGGGAGTAGGCGTAGGCGTGTCCCTAGACTCGTTAGTGGAGTAGGCGAGGTACGGTCCGGCATATTAGATAGTACCAGGGTACGTTCCGATATATCGAACCGTACCCAGGGTACCCCCCAATAGTAGCCTGGGGGACATAGACCCTGGCAGCGTCACTAACAGTCATATGCCACACATCAACAACCACATCCCTGTCTGATGACAGTGGTTGTTACATGAAACCTATTACTATAAACAGGATATATATATAATATGAAGAGTCCATACTAGAGATCTCTATTATGGACTCTTGATAATATATATATATATATATACAGGAATCTATCAATAGTCTATTGATAGACTCCTGATATATATAGTAACGATGATAAACAATCATCGGCATACGTACGTCGTTGCATGATGGCCCGACTCGTGGACAAACCTTGTTCTCGCTGTAGTTTGCGATGACGACGCCGACGAACAGAGTAAGTCCGATCATGCAGCCAATGAAGACGAAGATGTGCACGTAGATCGCATGAACCTGTCACAGACACCAGATGTCAGCACCATCCACGTACTGTGTTACATTAATGCGCTAAAGTTATAAACTGGTCACGATTACAAACACGACAAAAATGATAATAAGCACACGTCTGAGAATACAAATAAATCGTATAGATTGATTATAATTATTTAATCAGTTAGCTTCGATTAGTTTAATAAATATAATGTATTATATAGTAGTATGAAATTAGACCAGACTCAATCAAGATAAACTGGTCTAATTTAAAAACACAAATTTACACAATTAAATCTTTTTGTGAGCAAAATCCAGACGAACAGGGTAAATCTATACGGTATTAGTAATTGGAAAGAGTGTAAACCATGTCCGACATGACAACAAAAAACCAGAAAAATACGAAAGCGACAGATCTAGAAAATCCGGACATGATAGAGCTCTAGTACTATAACCCATGTTGCCACAGGCAACCCTGTAGCAACAAGGGCTGTAGTCCCTGTTTAGGGCTGTATGCCATGTGGCAACCAGGGTTATAGCACTAGTGCTGAATATGCGACAGTGTGGATCGGGACAGTTACATGTATAAGTCTACAGTTGTTATATGGAAACACACACGTCCCACATCTCAGAATGACTTGCGCCGCGATAACCGCGATCACTCGTTCATTCTAAGATGGCGGGATTAAAACTCACGGGCCCGAGGCGCTGTATTATAACGTCTCTGATGTCAAGCCAGCCCTTGAAGGATAAAATTTCGAATAGCGCCAACATGGCACTTCCAAGCGTGTCAAAATTGAAGTTTTCTGGGTTAGCCCTGATCCAGGTGGCAGCACAGAAACAGAAACAATGCTAAGTGTTAGTCACGGGTGAGGTGTGACGCGGGACGCGAGCGTCGTCACGGCAACGCATGACACGACAATCCTTCTACGGAGAAAATCACTCTAAACACACGGCACATCCGGACACAGCACACATGGACACAGCACACCCTGACACAGCACACATGGACACAGCACACCTTGACACAGCACATCTGGACACAGCACACCTGGACACAGCACACCCCGACACGACACGTCATGTTGCAGAACACGGTTAACGGGGAACAAAGACCACGAAAAGTGTGACGTCACGCATGCGCGGTGTACACAGCTCACACGATGAACATGCGGCATCGTGTGTGTGTGGGTGGGGCGTGGTGGTGGG